AAACATACACATGTCAACAAAAATATGCGACTTTTGGTTGGATTTCGCCGTTAAAATGATATTGAAAGATCGGGAGCGCTGGCTGAGAAAAGGAAATAAATTTCGAAAAAACGGCAACGCCATCACCGAACACATGACAGAGTTCGGAGTATTTTCGATTCAGCCACGGCTGTCTCGTCGTATAGCCACCAAACAAATATCGAATGAAAGCATCAATAAATTTATTGGATTCACTTGTTATTTCGGATTATTATTGTTATTATTGTTATCATTTGATGTTGTGTTGACGTTGAGAATAAAAAGATTTAAAGACGAGTGAAGGCAAAAAGCAATCGGGGATCAACTAATATGTAAATTTTATGCAAATCTGTCTCTTTATCTTTACATCGTTCCAGTAACGACCCTCATCTTTTTCACTGATTCCTTCGATATGGTGTGTATATATATATATTTTTCTATTCGCCAGCGATTTTTGGTGCTCGTTGTACTTTTCCATTTACTCACGATTTTTCGTCATCTCTGTCAATCTTGTTTGTGTTCGAATGCCTTTGTTATTTTTCACTTTTCGGTTGTTCGCTTTCATTCGTTCGCTAAAGAAATTTTCTCAGAAAAATATACCGAGAATGCGTCATATAGCCAAACTTATGTCTTATTAATGGCAACGAACACCGCTAGAAAGCCATTTAAATCAACAACAAACAACATATGACTCGTGAACACAAGTAGCGACAAATTGTGCCGGCAAAGAAAAAAAATATACACGAGAATCGAGAAACGCACGCACCAAATTGAAAATGGAAAAGTCAAAAGTATGAGAGACGATTTCGATACGACTCATAATAAAGCGAACAAAAATTGTGGACTCGGTGAAAAAAAAAAACAATGGAATTACGCTGATCAAGCTCCCTTTTTTCACCGTGAAATTGAAAACCGATTCATTAAAAAAAAAATTGAAGCCATTGATGTTGAAATCAAGTATTTCTACGCTCATCAACTTAACATTCGAGCACGACAATGACAACAACATTCAACAATCACGAGTGCGTTATGCGACCGAAATGTGTACTTCATTTGCGAGGATTTGTGGTCGTTAAATGTAGTGAATTAAAAACAAAAGCGAGACAACCGTTAAAAACATGTTCGACGTTTTGTTTTTGGTACGTTCGTTTTTTTTCGTATTCAGTGCGCTTGGTAAGTGTATATGTAGTGTAAACTGTTGAAAATTTGTTCAACGTTTGCCATTCGACTTTTTAACTTTTTAATCCTCCCCCCGCTATCAAATCAGCCAAAAAATGACTTGATTCTCATCGAAAAAATAGAACATATGTCCAAAATTAAAATCACAGCCAATCATTTTCAACTGTGATCAATCGATTCGAAGACTCTTTATAGACCTTGCAAATATCAACGTACTTATGATCAACCAAGAGATAGGAAATCTTCGCCTCTATAACCCTTCGTTATGAACTAACAAACATCATTCTCTGAGAGAGAAGTTCTCTTCATAATTTCACTCAAGTTCGCAGAATCAACCACGAATGATTATTTTATTACCTGTGAAAACAACAAATGTGACTATTCTTCATCAAACTCGGTGCTCTTTGTTATTGTTGTTTTTTTTTTGTCATGATCATACTTCTGCGTTTTACATCCATTATTTCTCTGTTCCTCATTTTCACTCCCTTTTCCCAGCTCTTAATGGAACCAAGTGAATTTTTTGCCGATGTACGCACTTTTCCACCCACACACAAGCAAGCAAGTTAAAAAAAAATCACCGCGGGAATTAAAATAAACACAAATATTGTTACACTTCAATAAATAATTGGCTCCCGAAGTAATAATTTGTTACGCTTGACTGTTACTTTTTGGAACAATTTTGATTTTTGTTTTGATTATGCAGTGCTGTTTTTTCACGCATCGTCTCATCAATATGATTACATTGCAACGTTTCGCAATTCATTTATACGTCGAGAATGAATGAGCGTGGAAATTTTGACATTCTTCCGATGAATTTGTATGCTATGTACTACAATCCATTGAATTAAATTTTTTAAAATCAAGCATAAATCATTTTACGTGCGAATCAGGCGTTACTGTAAGGTACCAACATTTTCTTTTTGTTTTTCCATAAAAAGCAAAAACAACGGTTACAAAAATAATAATAACAACAACAACAACAGGACTAATGGTTCCCTTCTGTAGCTCTAGCCATTTGCATTTTTGTTGAAAGATCGCATAAAGTTCTAATGAAATGCAAGACGTGTTGAACACACATTTAGGTAGTAATTGGTAGTTTTTTCATTAGAGTAAGAAATTGACGGTTTGACGAATTAGACAAATGAAAAGGGTATTTTAAACTTTATTACAGTTGATAAAAATTTAAAAATGTGTTGGTATGAATTAGAGCGTTTTATTATGAAAAATTAATGAATGAATGACACCTTCCTAATTGATGAAATGAATTGAGCAGACATTGTAAATTGTGTTCATTCTTTTTAGTAAATACGGAGAATATAAAGTATGGCAGTTAATAGTCAAAATGCAATAAAGTTGTGAACATATCTATGTGAATTTCATCCAAATTTTCGGAAAACAAAAAATTCCGCCAACTTTTTCTATGAAGTGATGAGCTGTTGTGTGGCGTACAAGAAGTTTGAATGAAAGTCGGCTTCCAATTTTACAGTTGTAATGTTATTTATTTTCGTATTAAATTCAACATTTTATCATCTACATGACATGGAAACTATACGGACTTTAAAATCATCGTATAATTTCGGTCGAAAGTAATCTCATTGAAATGCAGAGAGTTCAAATATGAACAGAGAATAAGGCGAACAGCGGTGACCGTTCGTACCTACTTCACACCACTGAATTTCAATGGCATTGCATTTCGCTTTTCTATGTATAAAATTTATTAAAATTATTTTTAGATTACAGAAACTCATTCCGGTAGGAAAAGTAAGTGCGAAACGGAGGGCACTTTTTTCCGTCTCCAAGAGCCAATGAAAAGATGCATGTGAATTTTCAGTTTCGGTTTGATGTGTTGGTTTTTTATTTTGTTGGTTGGTTGGTTCCACTTCGTTCATTTTCTCTCGTGTACTCGACAGATCCCGAATTTAAATAAGTTAACACACATTTTATTAATATACTAATGGAAGTTCGAGCGATGGTGATTTATGCCACGGTCTGCAATCTCTGATACACACATTATCTCTCTCTCTTTCTCTGACACACACACTTTTTCCATTTTCCAATCTCTTTTTTTCTTCTCATTTTATGTTTACCACCACTGTGTATATGAGTGTAAAAGAGAGCGAAACTGTGTGGTTTGCTAAACAAAAATATTTTACGAATAATCATAAAATTCACAGCAGTACAAAAAATAAATATGTGAAAATATAAATTTATTCAAAAATCCCTTGAATGTGCACTTTTATCCGACAGTTTCCAAAACCAATGTCTAATTAGTTTTATTTATGTATTAAAAATATAATTATATTCATACAAAATGCATTCGTGGAAATGGATTTGGGATGATGGTGAATTTTCACCTACATGGAAAACGGCTGTGTGGAAAATATCCAGAATATCAACGCACATAATACACAAACTAAGAAGAATCAACGGATCCAAATTCAAACGTATATCATCATATCTTTACTTTTTCATCCATTTTAAGAAGACCAAAAGAACAATGCTCACAATCAAAATGTGTTCAACTATCATTGAAAATTGAATTTGGAATTTTTCTTGAAATGAATCGAGATTTTTATGTTCCCACCATTTTACGCCAGCTGCATTCATACTCATCGAATGTTTCGGAATATAGAAACATGCAAAAAGTGTGCATATGCAAATTTACAATCCCTTAATACCAAATTAGAGTTGAAAATATAAAAACACATAAGTATTTGACTCTTGCATTATCCGTGTTGAATTCTCTTTTTTTTGCTATTCTATTTCAACACATAGAACTGATGAGAAACTCATAGAAATAAACTCGCTCAGTGCCATAAAGAATAGCGACTGTTTTTATTAGAATTCAAAAGAGTTCTTCAGGGTCCGATTCCAGTGAAGTTTTTATGTAGCAGATCTGTATGCATATTTGTCACTTACCTGCACATAAAAGTGATAAGACTTTCTTCGTAAAGCCGTTTTCAATGCTTATGTGAATGCTAAGTAGCAAAAGCCTCTTCATGAACCAAAGAGGATCTGCATTTTATTTGAATAATTAGAGCGCAGAAATTGTATCGTGCATGAACGGATTACGACTACGACTTACTTCGCTTGTACCAGATTTTGTCTTTTTTCTAATACAATTTTCAACAGTTTTTTTTTTTTTGCCATTAGTTCTTGAAGATTTTTTTTTCAGTTTTTCTTTGACCTTTCAACGATATCTAAACTAACAAAGACATTCAAATTCGTTATAAAATCAACTTAAATTTTCATTTATTCTGTTGATTGCGTAAACAAAATTGGTCTGAAAAAGTAAAACTTCAGTGAAGACACCTTTATTAGCCGAGACAATTCAAATATTGTTTTTTTGGGTGAAAAGAGCCGATAGATTTGGTAGAAATATGCAATTTTCAAAGTTTTATGGTAGTTCTTACGCTAGATGGCGTTCTAAATTTCTTTTGGCTTTTGAGGTTCGAAACAATACTTGAATCTTTTGAATATGAAACTTCATCAAAAATATACGAACAAATACCGATTGAGAAGAACGATGAATTCATATCTATTTTCCATCATGTTTAATTCAATCTATTATCAATTTGAAATGTTTGATAAATAAATGGTTAATTTTTTTTCTTTCTACGTTTCTTTATTTTAATGCTTAAAATTGCCCGATGGATATGCGGTAATATGCATTGATGGTATAAATGATTTTATTGTGCATTTACTGTATTGGTGTGAGTATGTGTGGAATCACCGATATTGTGTGTGTTGTTCAACAAATCGTACGCATGACATAAATAAATACAACACTGCTTAGCTAAGTGTATAGCGCACAAAAATGACAGCTGCGCCCAAACAATTCATTTCCAACATATTCAATATTGAACAATAGTATCATTTCTATATATATATTTGCCGCACATTTCGTGCAAAATATCGTTCTTTAACAAAAATTGTATTTTGATTGTAAAAAAATTAGAGAAAAAAAAATTCCACATTTAGAATGTCTAATGTTAAGAAAGTTGACGATAAAGCATGGAAAACACCGAATGAGGTTAATTTTTGTTTACATTTATTTCCAATTTGTTTACTTATTCCGTAATCGCTTTTCGATGTTTTTGTTAACTCTTTGTTTTACCATATCAGATTCTACGATTACAACGTCTTAAACAAAAACAGAAGGCTCTGCAAGAGCGTCTCGAACGACCACCGGCTTACAGTACTAGAAGTTCTCCATCCAAATTTAAAATTACACCCAGCGAAAAGAGGAAAAATCCATTTCTCAAGTGAGTACATACAAAAATAAAAATGAATTCTTGGAAAAACAAAAACATTGGCATGTCACTTGTATTTTAGTGAACGATTTACATCGGACAAGAAGAAAGCGCGACAAAGTATTCCAGATACCACCGAATATGTATCAGAAGATTCTGTATTTAATTTGTTAGCCAATGTAAGCGAAAATGAAATAGCGGCATCACATTCTAAGCCATCGTTAAATCACAAAGAACCGAATTCATTTATAAATCTACTCAATCAAACCGAAGAAGCTGACACAGAATTAGTCGAAACAGATGCAGAAAAGCCAACTAGTCATGTACCAATCGATTGGAGTCTAAAAACCAAATTACGTTTATTGACCAAAAAACCAGTTCCAGGCGATCGACTTAAATGCAATGAAGAAGCAAGTGGTATTACAAAGTAAGCCATGACACTTTCCATCGTTTTGCTTTGATCAAGAGCAAATGTGTATTTTTTTTTTCAATTTTCATTAAAAGTTTTGTGCGGTGTGCCGATATAAAATCATCTGAGACGAGCGGTTTGGATATTTCGCCAGCAGCCCGATTTCACCAGAGCACCATGTACTGGCAGCATCCGCATTTACCATGGCTTACATTATTTCCGCGCATGTCAAAAGCAAATATTGGAACCACAATTGGCGAAGCCGAACGATCAGCTCTTGCACGTGATTGGGGTGACAGTTTTCGTGCATTGTTTCAGGTTTGTATAAAATTTGTTTTTTGACTAAAATACAAAATCGATTTTAAAATAATTTTCGCTTTCAAATATACTTTATAGCTTGTGCGATCATTGCAATGTCCATATTTTTATATGTGCGCAAATTCATTTACAGTGCTCTTTCGAGCCGCTGGAATTGGCGGAAAACATGAAACACACGCATTGTTGACGCCAACATCTCGCGGTTTACGATCTGCTCTCAAAGAGGAAGAAATTGAATTCACGATGCCATTGAAGAAACCATCATCGGATGCACAAAATAAATCGTTAGATTCGGGCAATGATACACAAAGCAATAGCTTTTCGAATTTATCGGAAGAAAATGCGGCCGAAACATCAGCAGATGGCATAAACACAAGTGGTAACAATGACGAAGGTCTCGATGCCGATGATGGTAGCGAGGAGGAAGAAGACGAAGAAAAATGGCTTGAAAGTATGGGAGTGGATAAGTCGGAAATTAAAAAGATTCGCACCACCAATGCTCGACGCGTGCACAATGAAGAATGTGCCGAAGACTCAACCGATCAATCGATTTTACTGATCGAAGGTGTTGAGTGTCAGGCTCTTTTCAATTTTTTGTTGAATGCCAAAAGTACAACCACAAGAGTTGGCCGTTTGGCTGGCATTCCACCGACACTCATTTCACCCGTTGCATTTCCCGGTGCTACACTGAAAAACAATCAAATACGTGCCAGCAAGGTGCGTGAACAAAACATCGATTACCACAGTATGGAAATTAGAGGCGTCATTTTGCCACATACATTACATTATTTGTGCAATTTGGTGAGAGAGACAAAAGACCAATTCAGTATGACTTCCGTTAATTTTAATAGTACAAATGCTCTGAGCAAAGCTGGACAGAAAATTATTGATGGTTTGTATTTATTTTTGCCATTTTACCGCATTACTCATGTATTGTATAACTCTTGTAATTGTATTCCATTTCATTCTTAATCATCATAGATTTGAACAAAGAAAACAAAGAAGTGACCACCGAAACTGTATTTGGTCGCGAGAATTTATCCGATTGTGGTCTTCCATCATCTCTACTCCAACCATTATGCCGTGTTAGCAATGACGCCGTTCGTGTCGTAGAGCGAATGTATTTTGACAAGGAATCTGGTGGTTATATTTGGTCGGAGAAGAAGTAAATGTGCCCAGTTACCTAGATTTTTGTTTAAAAAATATCTTCCTTCAAATAATCCCAAATAATTTATTATTCTTGTTTTAATTACTTTAAGAACATACGATGTTCCGATAAATAAATGACTGAAAATATGACAATTTGCAAATGGCACAGCATTTTTTTTATATTTTTCTCTTAATTATTTTCCAGAAATCTCTAAGGTAAGTAACAACAAATGCTATTGAGGATTTTGTACTGTTTAAGCTCTGGAACATTTTGCTTCGGCCAAGCCACCCAACTTTTTTTGTTATTCGATTTCTTCTTTATGTGTCAATTTGGCTTGTTTCCTATCTAGGTACATGTAGAAAAGTTTTAAGAAGAAAAAACTATTAAATTGACTGGGTCTTCGTTGGTAAAATAGCTCAAGCTCATTTGAATTGCTATATTTAAATGAAATATCGCATTACATATACAAGACCATTTTTTAAATTGTTCTCTTATTTATTTGCCAAAAGATTAGAATTATAGTTTAGTTTACAGTCTATGGATCTTATGTGTCGATTATAATAAGTTCATCGATGCTCCAGTCTTCATACGAATGGTCTGGCAAGTAACGACGAATGATAATTGGAATTTTGCGCTGTTTTAGCTCTTTCATGGCAATTTGCAGGGGATCGGTTTCGTTTTCTAATTCAACCATAATCGGTGCACACATTGCGATTTGTAATGCGCGCGTTCCCAACACCCGAGCTCGTTCATATCTATTTTTTTTTGTTAAAGAAAGTCAACCAAATTAGTACATTTTCAAGTGTGCGTGTGTTAAAAAGGAAAAAAACACAAAAAAGTAAAACAATACTGACTTGGTCATGTATCTGGTTGTAATTCGTTTGTTTTTCGGTACACCGCCACCTTGTTGTCCTGGTGCAATGATTTCAAAATTTTCGGCTTCTTCTTCCTGATTCAAATCATCAATATTGTCATCGTCTTCAACATCATCGAAATCGTCGGCAGCAACACTACGAAGAAAATTCCAGAAATTTACATTCAATCAGTATTTTGGATTTCATTTTAAAAAAGACGCAATTTTTCTTGATCGAACTCGATGTTTTGGTAACAAACTTCCATAACAATAGCTCATAGTTCAATATGTTTATGTTGAAAGTTTTCCAAATAACTCGATATGCAAACAATGTGATGCATTGAGCGTATTTCATCATGTTCATAAATTACGACTTTGTTGAGGTTAGAAGTAACCAATTCAATGTTTATTTTAACATTTTCAATAATTGTACTTACTCTTCATTATCATAATCACCGTCATCCATGGTTAAAGGTAAATAAATATATCAAAAATTCAAAAAGGTCAGTCCGGTCGGTTTTTGTGGCTAAATTAATAAAAATTCGTTCTTTCCGTGAACTGAAGCGCAGTAAGTCAAAACACAAACTAACACTCGATGAATGCTGTCATATGCTTCACAACCGCATTTCGAAAATGGTAAACAACGCCATTAGTACCGATGTTCGCCGTAAACGTGCGTGTGGTTTTGACACTTCGAACATGTGGATTGTTGATTTTATTCCGTTCAACATTGAAATGTGTTTTTTACCGTGTTGAAAACCCCATGGAATTGCTAAACACAAACCAAACTTTAGAAAAACAACAAATTCATTTGTGTCGATCATGGCCGATATTGAAAGTGACAAGAAAAAGGAGCACCGAAAGAAACAATCCGGTTCGTATTTTTTTTAATCACTTTCTGTGAAGTAATTTATATGAAAAATATTCGATTTTCTTTTATTCTGTTGTAGGTGTGAGCGCTGAGAAGAAAAAAGCCAAAACGAAACAAAAAGATGAAACACTTACAGCTCGGCAGAGAAATCCAAAGGCATTTGCAATTCAATCGGTTGTTCGGGCTGAACGAAATTTTCGTCGCGGTGAAGATTTAACAGCCAAAAAGCAACACATACCACTTGTTGACAAATCATCGAATGATGTACCGCCGATTTTAATCGCTGTTGTTGGTCCACCAAAAGTTGGTAAATCAACATTGATTAACAATTTAATTCGCAGTTTTACCCGCACAAATGTGACAAATATTGAGGGCCCCATTACGATTGTGACATCGAAGAAACGACGAATTACATTGATTGAATGTAAGAACGATATCAATGCTATGATCGATATTGCAAAATGTGCCGATTTGGTGTTGCTCATGATTGACGCATCGTTTGGATTTGAAATGGAAATTTTCGAATTTCTTAATATTTGCCAAGTGCACGGAATGCCAAAGATTATGGGCATTTTAACGCATTTAGATGCAATCAAAAATGCAAAGACATTAAAACGTCGAAAAAAGGAGTTGAAACATCGGTTTTGGACTGAAGTATTCGATGGTGCAAAATTGTTTTATTTGTCGGGCATTCTGCATGGCGAATACCTACGAAATGAAGTTAAAAATTTAAGTCGTTTCATATCGGTGATGAAATTTAGACCACTTACTTGGCGCGGAACACACAGTTACATTTTGGCCGATCGTATGGAAGATGTTACAAATACAGAAGAGATTCGTTTGAATGCCAAATGCAATCGCGAAGTTATTCTCTATGGTTATGTTCGCGGGGTGCCAATGACTAAAGAAAATATGGTTCATATTGCCGGTTTGGGTGATATGAGAGTGCATGAAATGAGCACATTACCGGATCCATGTCCGTTGCCAACGGGAGAAAAGAAACGAAATCTTATGGAAAAAGAGCGTTTGCTGTATGCCCCAATGTCCGGTGTGGGTGGAATTGTTTACGATAAAGATGCGGTTTATATTGAATTGCAAGGTTCACATAGCCATAAAAAGGAAGCAAATACCGAACAGGAAGAAATCGTCCAAGATTTGATCGGAAAGAAAGAAACATTCGATACACAAATTGACAGTCAAGAGTTTCGGCTGTTCAGTGATGGTGCCCTTATTAAATCGAAAGAATTTCAAGATAACAACAAAATCGATTCGGACGATGATAACGATTCAGAAAGTGATGCAGATAGCGATGAAGACTCTGGTGTCGACGAAGAAGATAGCGAAGCGGAACAGAATGGCCTGGGATGGCAAGGAGAAAGTGATGACGAAGAAGATCCAGATGAAAATGGTAAATGTTCATAATTCAATTTTTTAAGTTAAATTAAAAAAAAAAACAACCCAAATATCTGTTTCAATTTTAATTTCAAATCTTTTTTATTTTTAAAAACAGCAGATAGTTCGGACGATGATGAATACCAATTTTCTGATAAGCTAGATAAAGATCGCACCGACGATGTGAATGAAAGAGATGAAGATATCGATGAAGAAATGGATGCAGTCGAAAGTGGCATTAATTGGAGAGATAATCTAGCACAAAAAGCTCGATTCGCATATTTGGAGAGGCAATCAAATTCACAGAATCTTATGAAAATCGTCTATGGTGCCATAAATGCGGTAGATACTCATCTTAATTTAAACAAATGATTTGACAAAAACGAAAACTTTTATATATTTTCATGTTTTAACAGGAAAAACGAAAAGTGCAACAAGGAGACGAAAATGATTCCGATGAAGAGGACAAAATCGGTGGAATGTTCAATGTTGTAGCAAACAAACAGGCTGACTTGCACAGCGAAAAAGAAAATCGCGATGCATTCGAATCATGTTTCTTCGAAGAATACGGCGCAGATACAAGGGATTGGAGCATTGATGAAAATAAACACCTTATCAAAGATTGTTTCGTAACGGGAAAATGGAGAGAATCAGAGGATGCTCAAGAGCTGTTGCGTTTAGACGATTTAAGTGATGATGATAGTGAAATCTACGGTGATTTTGAGGATTTAGAAACGGGTGAAAAGCACAAAGGCAAAAAAAATGTCAAGGCTCAAGCTGACGACGATAACGAGTCTGATGATGACGACGATGCTGACAAATTGCCCGAAAATGAGCAATCACGAAAACGTAAAATGACCCGTGTTGAAGAGTCAAATTTAACAAAAACCGAATTAATGGCGAAAAAGATGAAATTGAAGGCACAATTTGATTCTGAATACGATAATAAAGATGATGGTCGAATCAAAGGCGATCATCAATATTATGAAGAATTAAAAGCAGCAGCCAATCGTCAATCCGAATTGAATAAAAAAGAATTTGAAAATTTGGATGATGATTTGCGTGTTCAAATTGAAGGTTTTCGATCTGGCCTTTACGTTCGATTGGCATTTAAAAATGTTCCATGTGAATTTGTCGAGAATTTTGATGCCACCTATCCGATTCTAATTGGCGGCTTAAATATGTCCGAAGAAAATGTCGGCTATGTTAACTGCAAAGTAAAAAAACATCGTTGGTATAAAAAATTATTAAAAACCACCGATCCATTGATTTTGTCATTGGGTTGGCGCCGTTTCCAGACAATACCGATTTTTGCAAAGGTCGAAGATGATATGAAACATCGTTATCTAAAGTATACACCAAATCATGTTACGTGCAGCATGACCTTCTACGGACCAATCACACCACAAAATACTGGATTCTTGGCGATTCAGAAAATCCAACAGAATACCGATCAAATGCGTCGCATTGGTTTTCGAATTGCTGCCACTGGCTGTGTCACCGAAGTAGACAAATCCACACAAATTATGAAAAAACTCAAATTAGTCGGAACACCGTTTAAAATATTTAAAAAATCAGCATTTATCAAGGGAATGTTCAACAGTAATTTAGAAGTGGCCAAATTTGAAGGTGCCAAAATAAAGACTGTATCTGGAATACGTGGTCAAATTAAGAAAGCAAATCAAACACCCGAAGGATCATATCGTGCAACATTTGAAGATAAGATTTTATTAAGTGATATCGTTTTCTGTAGAACTTGGTTTAAAGTCGATGTGCCGAAATTCTATGCACCGGTTACGAATTTGATGTTACCACCAAGCGAAAAGAACCAATGGATTGGAATGAAAACTGTCGGTGAATTGAAGCGTGAAAAGAATATTAAAGCCAAACCAAATTCAGATAGTTTATATACGGTATGTAAAGCATTTCATTTTCTTTCAGAAAGCACAACTTTTCCAATTTTTTTTTCTATTTCAGAAAATCGTTCGACCACCCAAGCAATTCTATCCATTGCATATTCCAAGAGCATTACAAAAATCATTGCCGTATAAAGATCGACCGAAATTGGGTCCAGTTGATCCAAAGAAACCGATCGATAGTAATCGTATTGCGGTCATTCATTCGCCGCATGAGCAACGTGTTGCAAATATGATGAAAATGATCAAGACAAACTTTGACGCAAAGAAAGAAAAAACGAAAAAAGAAACCGAAATGCGAGTTAAGAAATTCAAAGATGCCAAATTGGCCGATGAAATGCGTCGACTCAAACGACAAAAAGAATTACGTAAAAAGATTTGCCGAACAATTAGCAGAATGGAAACATCGAAAGCAGCTGGCAAAGATGGAGGTGGAGGAAAACGAAAACACTTTAAGAAATAATCGAAATATAGTTAAATCGATAACTTTATTATTATTTTTTTGCCTTTTAAATAAGTAATAAGAAACACAAACGTTGAACAAGATTGTTATGATGATAAATAATAAAATCGAATGGATTTTATTCTGTAAATTCTTAGTAACCTGGTTTACGTTTGCGAAAATAAAATTTGAATTAAAGACATCCGTTTCCCGATTCAATTGATTTCAGTTGTGCCAACAGTTTGGTTTTTTTTTGTTGATCAATGGGCATTCGTTTCGTTGGTTTACCGCCAACATTTATGTTGAAACGTGGCAAACACGATACAGTTCTTGGTATTTTTGTTTTATCCGAATTAAACGATACTGTTTCTTTGAGGCCATTTATCTTATCGTTGAAACCGTTTCGCTTATCGTTGTTCATTTGAAATAAATCGTTGATTGGTTTTAATGCTCCCGAATCGCCGGATTCATCAATATCATCAAATAGTTGCGAATTCTTCGATAGATTTAATGCACCAATATCGCGACTAATTTCGTCGCAATGTAAATCCAATAAAGCTTCATTTTTCTCGATGTCGTTCTGTATTTTCTGATGGATTGCATGAATGTTCTGTGCACCATCGTTGGCAAAATGTTTTATATCATCCAACCGTCTAATACTAGTAATTGGAGTTGTATCGTTATTTGTAATCGAGCACACATCTTTATCAAGCAATTGCTTGATAACCTACCAATAATTAATAATTGTAAGAATTAAAAAAAAAAACGAAACTCCGCTAAATTTACCAAGTCATCGTCATCGTCATCTTCAGTATCAATGTGCAGTATATCTGTTGGTGGGGTTTCTTTGCTGATAGCAGATGAAGCACTCACCAGTGATAGTGCGTTGATGTGCTTGACCTACAAATTAAACCGTATGAAAAGGAACAACCACATTTATAATTGAATTAAGTCACCAAACCTCTTTGGCATCTTTGGCACTGCTATAGTCCGAGTCATTTGAGGATCCAACTTGCTTGTCCCCATTTTGTTTTTGACACAATTCTTTGTACTTCTTTCTTTCGTTCGCAAGTTGCGTCTTGAAATTTTTGGCCTCTAATGTATTTCGTCGAGTGAGAACTTTTATCTCTTCTTCTTTTTCGCTTAATTTTTGTTCCAATGACACGACCTTTGTTTGAAGAACTTCTCTCTCTTCCAGATGCCTTTGAATATGCCATTTCATGAGAGAGAGAGAGAAAAAATGGAATGGAAATTTAAAAAATACACATACCTTTCAGTAGTTAAAATCGATAAATGCTTGAGACGATCATTGAGCTCGTTAACGAGCTTATCTTTTTGTTGTAGTTTTTTGTTTAGCTCCCGATTTTGTATATTAATTGTGCGATACTTTGTTTGCCATACGCGCAATTCGTCATTATGCGATTTAATCAATTGCGGTAGTACGGCTGTAGATCCCTCATATTTGCTCAATGCATTGTCTTGACGCTTATGCAATGTTTTCAATAAACGATTCTCATTCACCAATTCCTAATGAAAGACAAGAAAGCAATCTATTATTCAAAAGTACAATATTGATTTTTCGTTCAATTTTACCGAATTTTGCTGTAGTGCTAGATTCAACTGATTTTGCAAACTTTTATGTCGATGTTGACGTGCAGATAATACACGTTGCCGAATATCCGAACTGAGCCCATTTATACTTCCACCAGACATAATCATGCCAGCCGGACGATTTTGAGATTTACGTTGTAACATTCGAGTTCTTAAAATTAAATTCGAAGCAGAATATACGCCATCATTTTTCTTTGACGATGAACTGGAACTTTTAATTGAAATTTATATTTAAATTCACATTTCAAATACATTTATTCTTTTCTATTTTATTTTTTTAAATTTAACTGAATTTCAAACTTACCATTCACTTTTGGCTATTATTCCTTTGATTTCAATCGATGACGCCGACATACTTTTCGCGATCGACTAAAAATATATATATATTTAAATCTATGTTATTCACCGACTTTCCATAAATTAGCAGCTTATTATGCACTTTGTCATCGGATATTGTCTATTTTGTCGCGGCGCAAAAAAAAAATGTTTGTTTGCAACGTTGCTTTGGCAACAACGTTCATCTGTGTACCAAAAATCAACAAATCGATATGGCTTGACTAAATCGCGTGTCTTTGCCGGCAAAACTTGTTGGATCAATAAAGTGACCACAAAATGCGTTAATAATTCGACGAATTGATATTTTTCAAATTGTATTATTTGTTTTCAATATTTTCTTGAAAAAAGAAATGAGTTGTCAGAATTTGAAAAACCGCCTACTGTTCATTGATTCACATGGATGCACTGCATCGACGATAATTTCAAATTTATCTTTTTTTTGTTCGAAAAAGAACGAAATTTTTTTTCGAACATGGATGAATCGGGTACTAAATTCTATATATTTGAATGAAAAGTGGCTGCAAGTGTCAGAAACTACTACAAAGAAAGACGCACATTCAATGCGTGTACACGGTGAATGTTGCATGACCAAAGTGATTCGCACGCGATGACGACGTTTCAGTGTGGGTATCTATGTTTTTCTGACGTCCGACGATTCTTAGTCATACCGAATGTCTGGTGTGTGTGTGTAAGTGTGTGTGAGTGAGTGTTTTGGTATTATGATTAGTAATACACCGCATCGTGTACGCCGATTCATTTGTGTGCCCCGAATAAGAAGACACATAGACAGTTCGATATACGAATCTTGTCATCAAAACACTCACATTTCGATTTCCAACTAGATATTTACATTCACTTCGTTGCTGTATTTCATTTATGGCGGACGTTTCTTTTTTGTTCTTGCAAATTTTTAGTCTTCAAATTTAACGCACTACAACTATTAATAGTGTATTATACAGTGTGTCAATGAAATATAAGAAAAAAAATTGTGTACCAAGAAAACGTCTTGCGTCGCCGAACACCTGTGATACAATTTGTGTGAACTGTTGATTTTATTTCATTTTGATGAGAAAAACATCACAATTTTTTTGGTGGAATTTTTTTTAAATTCACATCATTTTAGTTTGTTTGTTTATTGTTTTGTACGTTTTTGTAGTTGTATTCAAACGTCCTGTCTCGACGACTTCATACAATGAATATTGAAATGGAATGTTAAAAAACACTGAATTCTGTGACAAATTTCCAAATGAACACAGTGCATTGCCCGAAGCGACAACGAAAAGGTGCGCCAAAGTGCAGTTTACAGTTTCATTGTAAAGTCAGACAAGTGATAAGAAATCACTGAAATAGGCATGAAGAATTGTAATTACGCTCCAAATAATGATTCGAATAATAATTCACGATCTTAGCTAATTGACTGCAGTGTTTTTATTCGCATGTAAAATATTCCAACGAAAAATAATAAAAACATCATCAACAACAACAACAATAACAACACCACATAGACGTTGAAAACAGAGACGCCAAAATCCATAAAGTGCAAATAAATAAACAGAGAGTAATAAAACACCTACATTGTGTATCGATTGTTTTAAACTCACAAGCGAAGATTCTGTGCCGCTTTTTTTCGAATATTTTTGTAATTTTGTTCGATACACTAAACAACAATAATAATGACACGACTCACAGAGGAAATGGTAATCGCGAGATCCAGACAATCAGATCTTGCTTCAATCAAAAAGCTTAATTGCTGGTAAGTCGAACAAACGTAAACACAATAGACTTAAAAAATGTCAACCATGGAAAATGGCAAACAAACATATATGAAATATAAATGATTCTCATGAGAGGCCCAGGTAAATTGAGGGTGAGATAAATGTAGCATCGAAGAAAAGAAATTTCGCTCACAATCTTACAAACACTTTCAAAACATAATTCATGTATGCTTTTTCGCAATGTTTTGAAGTGTTGAATGTTGTATGCTTGTTTTTTTTATTCATGCGGCAACAATTGTTTGCGGCATATGGAGAAGAAAGCCGACCGAAAGAAGAGAGAAAAAGATGCTAGCACAATGAAAATGTATAGTAGAAATCTGAGTACATTGAATCTCGAGTACAGTTACAAACGGTAAAACGGCCGATGAAGCGGGAAACATCGAGCGCAAAACAACTTAAATTCAATGGAACTAGATGTGAACAAGATATAAACGTAACGATCAACATCCATAAAGAAATGATGAGCAGAATAACTTTTTACAAGACATTCACTCTGGTGCTCTTCTTGCATATATACCACGATTCTTACTAGACATTCATTCGAAACTTTGTGAAATTATATGGTAGGAGCCTCAACGTAACGCCACACGCTAGTCGAGCAATTTCCTTCGAATTTTGATGAACGCGTAATTTTTCGGTATCATTTGCTTTTCAATTAATAAAGAAACTGAAAACAATGGTCAAACACACCTCATACGTGGTTTATTCGTTAAATGACGGCATATTTTGCTTGCACCTTAACCTATCCCATTGTATCCTTTGTCATATTGTCGTTCGCAATGACTGGTTCTAGTAATTTTTTCCAAATATACAGTTTACGATGTTGACCTGACCCCATTTTCTGACCAAATATCGGAGTTTACGTCAACAAATTTCATGTAGATGTTACCGCCTTTATAGCAATCGGTTTTAGCGCAACAACTCGTCAGTTTCAAATTGAGTGACATTTCCTACATGCCATATTTTTGATGTAATTAACACAAAAATTACATCAATCAATCGAATGAAATCTTGGAAATCTTTCGCACCTAATAATTTGTAGTTTCTTGTGTAAGTTATCAATCACAAAAAATAGACGATTTTCCATTTCAACGTTTCTTAACCGTCCGAAGTTAACTTCTTTTCCATTTCTGTGGAATTCTCCGGCTGGTGGAAAATTATATAGTTTCTAAGAATTCAAAATTGACGATCATATGACCTACTCGAAATCAATACAATTAACCTCATTCAAGGGGAAATCTTGTCATGTGCAAAGATTCTAATTTCCCACTGAAAAAAAAGACCAAACAAACAAAACAACAGCAGCGAATAATGTCGAGGAAAAACCCTGTGAAGCGTGTGTAACAGTTTTCAACAAATTCATATTCAATTACCCAGACCAATCGCTATTCATATGGAATTTCTGCGATTATGCTTTTCCATTTTTATTCATATTCTGAATCAAAGCGAGTGTTAAATGATATTGCGTGCATGCGTGGCATTGCCTTTCATATCAACCTTTTCGCGAAAACATTCGTCAAGAGTCTCTTGAACTCATGCAAAAATTAATATGTACATAATATTTTTCAGCAAAAATATATCGGAATAAATTATTTTCATTTTATTTAATCGATGAAAAACACTTGGCGCGCGTTCTTATCTTTTCTATTTAAATTATTGATTTCATTGGATTATATTGCCATTGTTTTTGTTTTGTTGAATACTTGAGTAGGCTCAACAAAAATTGTGCTTTATTATGCGATTTAAGGATGCCTGGATTCATAATTTGTTTACGAAAAACATATTCAAAAAGACCAAACATGTCACCGATATCGAATGAATAAGAGCCACACACAAAACCGACGTTTTATTATTTTATTTATCGTTGAACAAAAAAAAAACTGTTTGCTTGCTCCACGCCATTTATGGCTATAAAATATACAACAACCAAGCATGTCGTCATCTAGCCTCCTACCAATCATTTTCAACAAGTGTCTACGATTACTCACATTTGATCAAAATACAGCAACAACGTTTAATTGCGTGTGTTTGTGTTTTCGCATTCATCGATTGTTTTCAATTTTTACCATAGATTTTGAGATTTCTTTTCTTTTGCTTTCGATTCTATCTCCATTTATTGAACCGATAAAACCTACCTGTTGGCCATTTTTGAAATAATATTCACATTCGAAATTGGACAATTTTTTTCTGATCGCTTTTTTTTCTCGCCAAATGCGCTTTTTTTTTGCTTTTCAGGGGCAGCGAACTTAGCGATGTATCGATCATTAGACGAATGCGTGGTGTGGAGGTGCTAGCATTGAGGTAAGCTTACTAAAATTATTGGAAATTAATATTTTCCAAACGGAGTGTGTATGGAATGATCAAGATTCATTCAAATGATCAATAATTATGGGGGAAAAGATAAAGACAAAATTGGAGCGATTTATTCAAAGTCAAATGAAGATGTGCATATGAATAATGAAACAAATTCCATTTACTTTTCATACCTTCAACCGATATCGTTCTAAAAACCATTATCATAAATGTCGGCCAAAGTTATTAAATGGGAACGACAATTGACGGCATTGCTCTGCAATTTATTTATGTAAACTATGCAACAAGTATATAAAATCTATAAATTTGCCGATATTATTCAGTAGAAATGACGTTCTGGTTTTTGTTGATCGTGTAACGAGCACATTTCTATGAAATACTGAGATTGAATGTACTCAAGAAAAGGAAAAACACACATTTGTTCCGATTACAATATGTCAACCATGTTTACCAAGTAATTTGGTTGAATAAACCGACTATGCAGACACAATAGAATTACTAAACTATATGTCAACCGAAGCAAGACAGAAGACACGCGTCTGTTGGTTACACATTGACCGCTCTATTACCAACATGCAGCAATTATAATTGTCAATAAATCGACGGTTTATTTTTACTTTCAAATGAATAATTCAATTCCATAACGGTGGCTTACACATTTAAGTGCATATAACGTGATTGTGTGCCCATTTGGTTTGTATTCGGTGATTCAATAATTCGTTCAGCGACCGGTATTGACTGTCATCAAAATGTGCATATATGGCCCTGTATATTATAAAGTTTTTTAAATAAACAACAAACATACAATGAAAGAGAAGAAGAAAAACAAAACAAAAGTGATTTCAATTATAAGCAGCCATGCTTTATTAGTAGACCCAATAAATACAGTAAAAACACAACTTGGAACAAAAACGAAAATTTATGCGGGTGCAGTATTATGCAATGGTTTTTTTTTAAATGCGTCGCAAAATACTTCCATTTCAGTTGAGACGTTAAGCACACGAGCTGCTTGGCTTCTCTGCGTTTCATTTTGTGCGACAGCGTTGAATGAATGGAATCATTTCAACGACACATCGAACAAATTAAACATGGCAAACGTACTCATGTAGAGGAACGATGAAAACATATGTAATGTCTTCAATGTATAAAACAAACGAGAAAAAAGAAATGAGACTAAAAACCGCACATAAATTTCTTGGCCAAAACATTTGCGTTGGTATTCGGCACGTGAAACAATGAAGGGGAACAAAAAACGAAAAAGTGTTTTGGAACATATTCAGTATCATATTTTGTTCCGATTTCATTTTTGGATATGATCAGAATGACCTTGCCCATCGACGCCCATATATGGACTGAAATTCGTATGTGTACTTTTCACATATCAAGTCGTCGCCGATCAATGTTAACGAAGACGAAAAAAAGAACATTGCATCAAGTTTTAACACATTCGGTAGACATAAAACAACACATGCCGCATGTAGGAGCCAATAAGAAGAAAAAAAACACTCACACCGATTTCTGTTCGTGTTGGAAAGCAAAAGTTTTCATTGAAATCGACTAATTCAAGTTCACACATATATTTTAATGTTTGCATGATGAAATTGTCGCAGCAACCAGTTTTCAGAATAGAATCGCAAATTAAGTTGGATTAATGTATAGTAGAAAATTTCACCATCCAACAGTTTAATTCATTTTCATGGAATTTATTTCAATAAATCAGAAGCGAAAAAAAAACTGCGCATTGTTTTTTTTTGTGTTCGCTTTCCACTTTATTACAATGAGCAAGACGAACGACGACCACTCGTGCGGATTGCTTAATTCATTTGTAATATGTGTAAATTTAATTTTTCCCCCTTCAACTAAACTCACTATATCAGCTACCAACCGCTGAACAAACTAAAGATGGAACAATAAAATTATATTTGAAAGAGAAACAAAAATGTTCTCTATCGATTCGAAACTTCACATTATGTTCCATAGAATTGATGCCACGAATAAATTTCACATTTAACAAATGTAAACGAATGAATAAAAAAAAACTATTTCTATCTCATCGTCGAGCTTAGCGTGGCTTCTAAAAGGCACTATGTTCGCTTTTTATCTATTTCATTTTCTTTTCTTTTTTTTTAACATAAAAATCACAAACCGTTAGATTATGGCGATTATATTGTGATGTTGCTTTCTAACATCGCGGTAACCCGACCGAGTGTAATAAATGTTTTTTTTTAAAGCAAAATTCCACTCCAAAACTGCAATGCTTCGGGCTACGAAGAGTTGAATGTCAACTCAATGCTCAAATAAAAAATGTGTGATTCGCGATTGTAAATATTCGCTCACACAAAACAAAAACCAATTCCTCGTTCAGATTAAATAAGCTATAAAAAGAGCGGCCCGAATAGTGCATTTTACAGTTGAATTGAACAACAACGATGAATTGATGACAAAAATCGATGTTTGTTTTTTTTGTTCGTTACGCTAGTTTGGTTATTTTGTGCACATGTGATATTCAAGTTCGATCGATATGCGGCTTTTTCTCCACATACACATATATCGCGAATATTTGCATACATGTTATTTTGTTAGTCTAGAAATGTTCGCTTATGCGTACTTTCACTACATCATCATTAACCTCTTTAGTTGGTTTCGTTCATTTTGTATGCATTTCGGGCATGTTATTGCCGCCTCGGTTGTTGGTTGTTTCTTTTATTTCCTTAGTTTCATTAGATCCCAAAATTAAATGAATTTTATTTTTGGCACAATTCAATTCATTCGGAACAAATTCCACTGATTGCTATCGAAAATGACTATATAAATAGTCAAAAAATTCGTCGAAAATATAACCTTTAATAGCCGTAACCAATACCGTTCTTTGCACAATATACCTCTCATAAATATGTGTGTGTGGATTGCGTGAAAGCGTTTCCCTCGGTAAAATTCAATTTTCCCATTAATTAATAACAGCGAAAAATAGCAGGACTTTGGAAAACAAAATGAATGAATGTGAAAAAAAGTAATATGATGATGTCATTTAGTGAATAGAATTCTTGTGTATGTGTGTCAGTTTTGCTCGAATCAAGTGTACGTCGCTAGATAGTAACAGATGCCATTATACGAAAAAAAATAGAAGTCTTTACAGCAGGTATAGAAAATACAACATTTTACAACTACAATGAATAGTCCTGTGTGTATATTTTCCATGCCATCACCACAACTGAATACAATGTCGTTCGTAAATGAAGTGTAGGTTGATTTTTGCATTTATTTATTTCAGAATTAAAAAAAGGTTAACAATTTGATGAGAACAACAACAAGATTAAATAAAGGTTTCAGTTTACTATGTCATGTCATTAACAAACAAAAGTTAAAAAAACAACAACACAAAAACATAATGTTGATGAAAATGATTTCAGCTAATGATCAGCTCTGTGGTGTTGACTTTCTTTTTGCCTTTGAAGTATGGCCGAAGCTTTATCTTAATAGAAAGAAATAACACTGAATTCTTGACATTCCATTCATGAGAGCCATTAGATAAAGCGGAACATCAAGAGAATTGGATGCAAGTTTCTAATGCACAATTACTCAAATGAAACGAAATGCAGGCGAACAATATCGCATGCACTATTCACCAGTCAACTCTAGTTTCAATGCATCGATTGTGGTTTTCAACCAATTTACATAATTTAAACGTTTTTCTTTTTCATTTCAAGAGAACAAAAGTCCATCTCATTTATTGTTGTTATTTCAATTAAAAAAATATCAAATTTTATGCCAACTAATGAATGGTATCTAAATTGAAATGCGAAATAATCAAGCCTATTCAAAGCGTACGCTATCAAATGATGATACTGATAGTTCCTGTGTTTTTTTACTTGTTCTGTGCTCACATCAAAAATGAATCATCGTTGGGTGAATTGGAAATTTGAATATAAGTGCTCTTTGGGAAGATTCCAAAGTGATTCATTCACACATATATTTTCATCGATTTTCTTCAATGGTTCTAAGCCAAATTGTGTTACGATAAACATAAATCTTGTATATTAAATCATATTTGCTTTTGAGGGTCAAGCAGAGAATGTAACCAGTAGTGTGCCAAGGGAGTGGGTAGAAAGAGTGAAAGGGCTAACATCTAAGTGTATAATAATGACATCGATACTGTTCACAACCTAAGTTTATATGGTGGAAATCCTCTGTTTTTTAGTCCAGTTATTTTGAATAAATGTCCGGATAATGGTGGTTCTGGCACTGTATCTCTTTCGCCAATCTGAATGTCAAACGGTCGACCTCCTGTAGTTACGAAAACTTCATCTAAATGTGGTCCGCCAAATACCGCAGCTGTTACTTGATGTGCCGGAATTGTAATATTTTTTACAATTCTGTGTGAACTACTCGATTGAGTGCGAAAACAAATTATTATATTGTTTTTTCATCACAAAAACCAATGAAATAACTCACACTGGATCAATAGCAATGACACTGTCTCCTTTAAGTAGTTCCAACCACAACAAACCATCTCGGTCGATCGTCATTCCGTCTGCCATCAATTGGCCATTTATTCGAAAGTCATAGGTAATTGTTTCGTTATCTGCAAAATATTTGATTCAAATCAATATCGATAAAAAAGTTTATGATTTGCCGCTTACAAATCAGTCCAGTAAATGGATCCCAATACTCTTTGATATCAAATTTGCATGAATCGACATAATAAAACTTCTTCGTTTTTGTATTCCAAGTTAAACCATTGGCCAAATGCAATTAATGTTATTTTCAAAAAAGAAGTCACAAAGATGTGACGAAATTAATAAGATTTTAAGAATATTTAATATTAAATATCGCAATTATATTTCACCTGAATTTATTCTGTGAAGAACATTGAAAATGGAACATCACGTTGAAACCAAGTCGAATCACGTCATTTCCGCATACAATCAATAAAAATATACTTTAAATGCTTTAATTATGACGATATTTTATCTTTATAACTTCGTTATTCGATAGTACTTTTATTAATATACAATCAAAGATTGGAGAAAGCAACAACAAAAAAATCCCAAATTTTTTTCAATTTCCGAACATTTCTTTTTCGGACAAATTTCAAAAATCGTTATGAATTTTTCTCTTTAATTATAGTCTCGATTAAGCTCATCAGCAATGAATGCATATTCCATTTACTTGCATCTAGATTTGAACTATCGAATTTCAGCAGAATTTTCAGTTAATTTAGAGAAGATAAACTGAATTTCAAAATTTTCAGAAATCAGAAGCTAAATCGCTCTCCAATATATCAAAACATGTTGATCATTCTGAAAGGTCAATTCAATCAAAGTATCATGCGAATATTCGTTTAATTTAAATTAGTCTTCTTCGACGGCCCGATGGCTCAGACTAAACATACGCCGTATCTATAGCAATGAAATTCATGCAAAGTGTAGCCGATGCCGCAATAAGGCAAGAACGTAATGTGTCGGCTTGTACGATTCAACATGTCTTTTCGTTGTGTGTTATACAAAAAACTGTTTACGTTCGTACGAAAAAAATGTACTTTCATCAATGTATATGTTTGCCGCTTCAATGCGATATTCTCATGTACAAATGGCATGAACATAAAGGGTACTTCAATAATGCCACACATAAATGAACATAGCATTTGTCAAAAATTTATTATTAATAATGTCACATTTTTATACTCTTCTTCTTCCTTCCCGATGTATAGTGTAAACAAAATCTCTTCTCTTAGCGATTTTGAAGACTGTCACAAACTCCAAGAACTGTATCTCAGGAAAAACAACATTAAAGATATCAACGATCTGGTCTACTTACAGGTATGAAATGTTTCTTTTATTATTTCTATCAATTAAGTGGTAATGGAATAAAAAATGTGTGAATGATTATAGATTTGAAATGATTCATCAAGATGAGTATCAATTTGATACTATAAATTGCAACAATCGGCATTACAACAATGACAGAGAGCATCACAGCATGTTCCGCAACAATCGCATTCGGCAAAAATTTGCCAAAAATCGATGCAAAGTCTGAAAAGATCAAATAATATTTTCAGCATTTTTCTAACGCAGATAAAACGTAAAAATGTTGATGAACGAAAAAAAAGAACTTACAGCCATGTAAGAATGTTATTACAAGCCTGAGTAAAAGTTGCTCCACAACATACACAACAATCAGCACAACATGCCTCGTCGGGTTGGTTTAATCTACCGTCTGTAGTGTCCGGGGCGTTTCTTATATTTTCCACAACTGATCGCGGCTGATCTGTTATGGGCCCTGGAACGAAAAAAAAAACATTCACATTTTCACTTTTAAAAAACCAAAATTATTATTCTTACCTTTTGAGTTCATTTTATTTTATTTTATGAAAACCGTACGTTTACAACGTAAATTAAAAAAAGAACATCTCTTACTGCTCACGCTTGTCAACAAGTTTTTGTAACTTGAGTCGAAACACAAAACACGCACACACATACGAATACACACATTTTGACAGTAGGTGCTTGTGTATTGTAATAACAACGAATGTCTTGGTGTGTGTCATTGTGATCTCATCGTAGCAGATAGAGAATGACAATAACAATATGAATGTGATTCATAAGTATAACCAGTGATTTCATGTTGAACATTGTGTGCGGTAAATTTGAATATAACACGCACAATGATGCCATAAATGAATATTTTTATCTGCATTTTGTAAACATTTTGAATGTAAAGAAACCAAAATATGTACATGTAAATGTGAATTCACGTAAAATCTAGGGGACGGAAACCATTAGCTAGTTTTTTTTTGTTTCAAGTAAAAACTAGGAAAATTAGAAAAAAACTAGCAAAAACTAGAAAAATTAGCAAAAATTATTTGACCCGCCATTTTGATATTGTGCCATGATTTGGTAACTAAATCAATTTTACAAGTCGACTATTGAAAGATACAAGTATTTTTGCACGATTTTGTGTTAAAAAAGAATAATTAAACTAATTTTTACTATTATAAGTGTATAATTATTCAAAACACATAAAAATATGTCTGAACAACTAAACGTCAAAATACTTCATTGTGTCAGTACAATCATTTGATTGTCATTTGACAGAACAAAAAACTAGAAAACTAGCAATTTCATAAAGAAATATTAGCATTATTAGATTATTCAAGCAATAAACTAGTAAATTAGCTAAAAACTAGTAAATTAGCTATAAACTAGAAAAACTAGCATTGGTTTCTCTCCCCTAGCGTAAAATTCTTAATATTCCACATATAACATTCACTAATATTCTATGATCACACGATTGGGCGAAAACATATAATCTTTGTAAGCGTGAATTTAGTCATTTGAATCTTTAATGTTAAAATATATTTTGAAATTATTTACAGGGATTGCCGCATTTAAAAAAACTATGGCTCGAAGAAAATCCATGCGTCGAAATGGCTGGCCCAAAGTATGTATTTTTGATAAGAATTGAAGTAATTAATTAAAATTAAATTTAAATTACTACCATCCGTTTAGTTATCGGCAAATTGTTTTGCGTGCGTTGCCAAACCTTGAGATGTTGGACAATGTGGGTGTTACATCAGAAGAATTGGCTGATGCCATGAAAGGTGGTCATGCAGTACAAAGTCAAGAGGAAGTCTATGAAGATGCCTATTCAAATGGGCCCACTCAGCAGCAAGCCCCACAACAGCAGCAACAACAACAATATCGCCAACAAAGCCCCGTCAGAGAGGTACGTTTTATCATAGCATTTTCACAATTCAATTATCTTTCAATTCGAACAAAAAAAATTACGAAATCCAAAATACAAAAATCAAATCTCCATACATTTCATTTAAAATAAATCTCTAATTTATAAATGCATTTACAATGGCGAAATAAAATTGTCATCTGAAAATACATGAATATGCGATCTCAATACATGACTAATATCAATAGTTCAATCATCATCATCAAAATCCCGAGACAGATCATTTAATCGATTCCCATGACCGAGTATCCGTACCTTCTTCACCGCAACAGGTACATTGCAAATATCGCATTTATTTAGCCGCTCATCAGTTTCGCATGATTATATAGACAATTGAACGAAAAATCGAATATTTTTTTACGTTCTTTGCTTTTCTTTACACCTTTTTTTCCAAATCAGCGTTCAAATGTATTCTTTCCAATTGTTCCTTAGACATTTTCATTTTTAGGGGGATTCGTTTACGTTATACTATAAAATGTCATTTTAATTTTAAATTCAAGAACCATTGTTGGTGTATTGTATCGTAGAACGTGAACAGATAGTTTAAATGCTTAAATTCTTAAGTTGTGACCGCTTTTATTTTATTTTAATATTGAATACTTGAACTTATATGTTGATATTTTATTTTTTAATTTAGAAATCACCACCGAATCAAGAATATTCTCCCGCTGAGCCAAATCATCCACCATCGCCGAAACAACGTGATTATCGATCTTCATACCATCAACAATCATATGATGTAAGTTTTTCCGAACAAAAATCAATCAAAATAATCGATTCACAAATGTTCATTCAATTCACGCAGAGATCACCTGGTTCAGATGAAATTCAGAATACTAGCGGTTATCGTGAACGTCCGCACATTGTGCCGAGCATGTCAACTCATTCAATGAAGGTACTTTAATTTTTGTTGGTTTAGTTTTTTTTAACATTTAAATGGACCGTGTCTTTTTTTTCATTTTCAGGAATATTATCAATCAGATCGACCAATGCCAGCTCATTATCGCCATAGTCAAAGTGATTTAACTGAATGGGATGAGCCAAATCATAGTACACCACAACAGCGTCGTAGCGGCGGTCCCAACGTAGAACGAGATGCAAATTATCCATACCGAAATGGTTCGCGTGAAAAAGAAGAATGGGATGAAAATGAACGAGGTCGGCCCAGGTAAGAAGCACAACTGTTTCATAAGAGTTTGCATGACAATGAAATAATGGAAATATTTTGCATCTTCTAGAAGACAAGATGGACGATTCAGTGATACAGCCAGTGTTGTATCAAACGCAGTTCTCAATCATTACGCTAGTTATCATAGGAGACCCGTTAACAGAGTAATCCTCATTCATGTTACATATATTTGTAAATAGCACTCTCTAAACGCATTTATTTTTTTTTTCTTGTCTTGCAGAGTTCGAATTTGTTATCGGCAACACTCTGTCTCGTTAAGGAGTTGGATTATCCAAGTTTGGAAGTAGTTGAGCATGCAGTTCGATGTCGCATCGATGAGCTGGCGGCCGAATGACAAAAAGTGAATTTATAACAACTAAATAGTTATGCATCTAAACCGAATTAGGCGATTAATTCGATCTTATACACAGACAATTATTTAAAAGACAAAATTAACATTAACTGACAATATTTTTACTCGAATATAAACAACTAAGTTCTCTAATTTATATTCATTACAAAAAAAACTAAAATCGAAGACGAATGCGAACTAAACTAAAATGAATTACACAGCGCGGAATAACTTTCGATTGTAATACCCACATGGTCTGAATGAAAAACTTTTTGTAAATTAACTTTAAATAATTCTATGGAGCCTACGATTGATAATAAGCGATCCGATAATAATATTGCTAAAAACTGCTTTGTTTTTTTTTTCGTTTCAAGTTATAAAATAACCGTAAAAGAAGCTTCTGTATTATACTCAGTTTCGTTTTGTTAATTTTATTACATTGTTTAAATAAATATGCAATTAGAAAAAAAGAAATTATAAAATATACCTCCGAATTAATTAGCTATGAATGTCTCTAAAGAAAATATTTTCACATAAACAAACGCGGCATGGTATGTTTCAACGAAATAAAATTCGATAAAATTTTGAACTAGCATGATTATAGATAATTATTATAGAGCTTAATAGACACGTGCATGTAAAAATGCATCAATTCTGCCGTTATGTACACGTCCATTATTATTAGAGAAATCAGCAAACTATTCCATACGTATTACACGAAATGGTCGAGAACATTTCATCCGTTTTTGTTTGAAGTTCTTATGAATGTATTGATAGTGTTCCCTCAAAACTCTTGCCAACCATTTAAATGTGACGCCCAATTAACATGCAAAATGAATATTTAAAACATATTTTTGTTTAATAAAAATTTATTAAAGCTTTCTTGATTTATAAAAAAACAACAAATTCAATTGTCTTTTTTTTATATAAATTTGGAATTTTTATCACAGTTTCAATTTCAAAAAGCTGGATTTCAAACAGTCTATGTATTTCGGATGGATATCCATCCGAGATATTTTAGAATATCTGGATATTCAACGCAACTGCACAGCGCCAGAGCTGTGTGCGTCGCAAATAGAATCTACGGTATGTCGCGACGTATATGTGTATCAAGTGTCGCACGTACACAGTCACACTGTGTCTGTATTTTACGTGTAGCGACATACCGTAGATTATATGTGCGACGCACACAGCTCTGGCTCTATGCAGTTGCGTTAAATATCCAGATATTCTAAAATATCTCGGATGGATCTCGGAAATATCCATCCGAAATACATAGACTGATTTCAAATTATAAAGAAGAATAAAAAATATTTGTTAAATAAATTAGTTAATGTTTAATGAATTCACACGCGTACATGGTGCAGATATTATATTGAGATATTTTCAGCCAGATGAATCAGCTCAGCCAGATATCGCCAGGGGCTGAAATTGAGCGAATACAATAGAAGTGATTGTTATGGCTATAATTACACTTACATTGCTACAATCACTTTTATTGTTTTCGCTCCATTTCAACTCCTGACGAAATCTGGCTGAGCTGATTCATCTGGCTGAAAATATCTCAATATAATGATATTAGTAAATGAAAGCCAATTCGGTCTGGTTTGAGTTGATATTTTATTAGAATATACCGACGTTTCGAATCATTTGTGATTCTTCTTCAGAGTCTAAAGAAATCGAATAGTACAATGTATTAGATAGTGTAACAACACCCTCACTTAAAAGAAAAGAATATTAAACTCACTTTTCAATGAATATCTACTATGTCAAAAATTTTCTGATTAATTATGTTCATTCAAACAATTTTTTTGGCAAAACAAAAATATAAAAAGAATAAACCAATCAATGAGTTAAACTGATAAATTCAGGAAAATTAACAACTGACATACGCTGCATTGCAAAACAAACTGACTGAGACCTCAAGTGTCAAACAAACGTATGACATCAAAATGTTACATTTAAATGACATGTTTAATAGCACAATATTTGAATGAATCAAGTTTTCAATTTTTCAAACAAATTATAATAAATATCACTCACATTCTTTGATTCGAATCAAACTTTTTATATTAACACATTTTCTACTTGCTTTTATATGAATTTCTTCTAATAACATTCTCTTCCTATATGATCCTTCTTTTTCTATGATACGCATGTTATCTCAATATAATGTCTGACATGGTGAACTGAATGTTTGACTTAAGCGATTGCGGTCAAATTTACTATGAATGCAATAAATTACGGTCAATTCTAATACAGAATTATAAAAATGATGAAAATATGTCCGCATTGAGTTTAAATTTGATCGCACAATATTAAATAGCCGCATCCTCATTTGATTTGGCCGCATGTGTGTGCACTTATCAGCTATTTCTTTCGTTGATCGCTACTTGAAATGATTAACAGATGGAAGAACCAAGCTGTGACTGACGAGGCAATGAAAATTTTGGTTGAAATTCTTACGGGCGAATTTTTGTCTGTGTCAATCTCATGTCCGAATTTTCGAATCGTTCTCGGACGAAAATTTGTTCGAACCATAAAAGATAAATTGTTGTCCGTGGCTATATCCATGTTTGCCTGTCCGAACAGTTCTCGAACGTCCGACGAAATTCTCCGGTTGACCTGTGGCCGATGACACCTAAGGCCTGTCGGGCAATTGCAGGACACAATTCAAATGTAATTTGACCTTCCGGAGAAACTTTATTTATTTTAAGAAAAACACACAATTCCTTAAACAAGAACCTAACTGGTTAGAACAAATGGTTAGATGCTTTTAAAAACATATATGTCTAAAGCACGGCAAAATATTCATTGAGTGGTTCAAACACAATTTTTTCTGGTTGTCTATATTTGGGCGTCAAAAGAAATAAAGTTGTATATAAATCGTTGTGAGAGTAGTATCGCCGTTTGTGATGCGTATGAATTCGAATACAAAAAGAAGTAGTCAAGTGTATGTAGCATTGTCTTCATCTCGTTAGCAAATACAATATACCTGTTTGGTTTGGCTGTTGACATCGCAATTTAAGATGCATATCAACTTAATTGTGTACTGTTGCTGCTGCTGCATGCATGCAGAAAAATGAAATGTACTTTGTACACCATTAAATTTGTCTGAATGTTATGTAACGTTGTGTCGATTTCTGTTGCTCTCCATTCATGAGTTAATGAACTTGAAAGATACATGCGACTGCGTATTGTTGCCGTTGAAAAAAAGAAGAAGAGTTTGAAAGAAAAGAAAGAAAGAGCGAATAAGCATGGGCAATGTAATAAAAAAACGTGAATTTGAAATGAATGAGAATACCCTTGTGAGAATATTTCAACTAGTAGCCGGTCGATTATTTTTTTTATAAAAGTTACTAGCTAATTTTGATTACCAAATATTGTGATTTAAGTTAAAGATAGTTTATTCCAGTATCAAATATCAAAAATTCAACTCCGGCAACAATTATCGCTTAATAGTAGATTTTGGTTACAACCAGTCCATCATTTAATTTTATTTTCATAATGGTAAATAAATAAACCACGTGATGATAAAAAAAAACGATATAATAAATTGAATATGTATTTTACATATATAATATATGAAAAGTGATTATGAAGATCGTGTTATTCGTTTTCCAATTCGTTTTACTAAAAAATTGTTGTTAGTTTTCTGCGTTTTCCAACATAAAAAAAGAAATCTAATTCAAGATACTATCATCAGCTGAAATCAGATATTCATGCCATAATAAGTTGTTTTATCAAATCAAAAGAGAATCGAAAATAGAATTTAAAAAATCCCGAATTTCATGCCCATGAAACTATATTTCTGTCTAAACAGACTTCTTTCTTTGTTTCGTTTCCATGCGAATAAATTGCGACGCAATAAGCACGAGCCACACTGCCAACATCATTCCTGTGTGTTGTTATTCATGTTTTTGTGTATATGTGTTCTTGTAGTATCTTCTCAAGCCACATGGAAGCGCATATACTGCTTTCGTTTTTGCACCGTTACGTTTACTTTTCTAACTGTTTCGCTCTCTCTATCTGTCATCACGTTGTGCAGAAGATTGTAAGAGATGTGCTTAGCATTTGTTTTAAATTGTGTTAGGGCCTCTTGGACGTTGTGAGCGGACAAGAGAATTTTAAGTAGAAATTGAACCCAATGTTGAATGATGGGTTAAAAATAAGTTGGGCGTCTCTCAATGTGTACTCTTTAATTCTGTGTGCTTTTTTTTTTTTCATAACACACATATTCAAATATTATTCGTTACAAAATACTCTCTGAAAACTTTGTCTACATGCAATGAAACAGCACAAAGCCCAGTAACTGGGTTGTTAGTTATCTGGTTCAATTGGAGGTTTACTTATGACCAGTCAATAGTCGTTTTATGCCAATTGCCATTTGCCCAAGACAACGGCAATATGATTGAGGCGGTAATTGTGATTCTTACAAAAATAATGGAGGAAAACATGATTATTATGGAATCGGGTAATTAATTTTTGTAGTTGTAAAAATTAAAAGTGATTTTCACTTTCTTTATTTTATGGCAGTTGGTTACGATCGGGTAACCGGTCTGTGTTAAATGATACAATTTGGCGCATTGTAAATAGAGCGACGTGCACACCATTCGAAGGCTACACGTTTCACAAAACTATTGAAAAAGTCGCGAGCACGGTGACAGCACATGGAATTTGCACTTTGATGAACGTTTAAGCGATGATCAAATCTATTCCAACAAAATGCAATGCATTTCTATAGAATCTGATTCTATCTGATGGGAATTCCGTATCGGTCAAAAGTGAAGAACAAAAAAAAGGTTTTTTTTAAAATTCTAATCCCACAACCGCTTGAAATTCATTAGAATAAAATCTAAATTTAAAGCCAAAAACAACAATCAAATCCTGAAAATAAAATCACGTAATGGTTTTATGTTTTTGTTGAAATCGTTGATAAGCGGTGACTTTTCGGATTTGATATTTCGCTTCGTACCTGGTGGTGTCCTGGCATCTGGCATTTTATTAATTGACTAATTAATCAGTATTAAACGGGTTTTTCCTTCTTATAAGTGCATGGTAACTTCAATCAAAACGTTTATTTCCTATTATTAGAATCTTGGATCGAATCATCATCTGGTTGACGCAAGAGTGGATTGGGCATTCTTCCTTATGCCATACCATTTTATGATATTATTTTGCGATCCTCATTCAAAAAAAGCAGTTAGAAAAAAATTATAAGCCGTCATAGTCAAAAGAAGGTCAAAAGCTTCTTTCAATATTGATGGGGGGAGAGGCTTTCAATTTACCCTTTAGAAAAATTCTATTTGAATTTGAAATATAAGTACATATATGCTTCAACACATTATTCAAGCATGTGAATAGAAAAACAAGAATAGGAGTGAAGCAAAAAAAAAGGAACGAACAAAAACAAACAAACTGACTGATGTGATGAACCGCGGGTTGTGAATGAATGCATAAATTAATTATGGATAGCTATTCAAACATTGAGAAACAGAATATTTACATGAATCGATGTTAAGTTTTATCGTTGAATCGTGCCAAATGAATAGTAATTTGCCATGTGTAATTTCATGCTCACATAACGAAATCAGAAGAAAATCAACATTCAATTGATTCAGTGTACCGCGCTGGCCATCCGAAATTGATTCAGTTTCCCATGTACATTGTAGGAATCAAATTGTTCTGAACTTGAAGATCGATTGCTGCATAAATTAGACCCAGAATATCCGAAACTTGAAATACCAGTTTTGCGTGAGTACACTGCTATCATCGGTATGTTACAAATTCGGCACGTACGCAAAAAAAATGTTTGCATCTTAATTCTACTTTTTTTTTTAATTAAAGGTTGGCGATTCGTATATATTTGATCTTTTTTTATCCCTCGAAACAATGCTATTCCAATT